ATGAGCGCCCGAAACGAAGAGACCACCGACTGCCGAGGACCGCACTAGAATTCGTCGAAGAGACCGACGGGAACGTCGCCGCCGTTCCCCGCTTCGTCGTTGGCGCCGAGCGTCTCCTCGTCCACGCCCCGCGCCTCGGGCGCTGCAGCCGCTGCTTTCAAAACTGCCCCCTGCGCCAGTGACCTCTATCGGGCAGCTCGCGGATTCGCCCGCATCTCGCCGCGCTCGGCCTTCGCCGCGTCGAGCTGCCTCTTGGGGCGAGGAAGTTAACGCGCGCGTCCGCTGCTCCCTTCACAGGCCCATCCTGAAACTAGCAGCGGCGCCTCGCCCCCCTGGCTCGGCCAGGAGGGCGCGCGCGCGCGACGCCCGGGGCCAGGGTGGGCGCGGCCGGGGAGCGCTGGAGATGTAAAGATTTCATCGTGACCGACTTCTGGTGCTCCAGCTTTTGGCCGCCTTCGCAGCTTCGAGCCCCTGCCCCCGCGCCAGGTCGCGCTGCCTCTGAGCCTCGAGCAGCGCCGCGGCGGCTGCATCACCCTCGCCGCCCCCCTTCTCGCCGAGCTGCGCCGCGCTGCGCACCGCCCCCAGCTTCTGACCCCTGCCGCGCGCCCGCGCGCCAGCCGCGGGGCAGCCCTGCATTCGGAATCGACTGGCTCGGTCACGGCGGCCGCCTGCAGCCGCCGCGCAAAGAGCCCCAGGAGCGCCTCCGCGGTCCTCGGCCCCAATTCCTCATCATTGGCGTCCTCGGCCTCGGTCCTTTCCTTGCCCCCCTCAGCCGGCGCGCCGCAATCGGCTCCCTCGGCCTTGGCAACGCCCTTGGCCTCCTCAGCTCCGGACCCACCCTCTGCCTCCTCGCCCTCTACCCCCATCCGCCCTGGCGTCTCCCATGGCCTCCTCAGCCGCGGATTCGCCCCTAGCCTACTCGGCCGCGGGCGCGTTCTCGGTCTCCTCAGCCTCGGCCCCCCTCGGCCGCGGCGCCTGTCTCGGCCTCCTCATCTCGTGCCTTACCCATGGCCCCCTCGGCCACGAGCCCGCCATTGACCCCCTGGGCCTCGGACGCGCCCTTCGCCCCCGCAGTTTTGGACTCGCCCTCTGCGCCCTCGCCCCCTATCTCCTGAGCCTCGGCGTCTTTCTTGGCCTCCTCAACCTCCCCCCTTGCCTCCTCAGCCCCGGGCTCATCCTCGACCTCCTCAGCCCCGGGCGTCTCCTCAGCCTTCGGCGCTGCGACCGCCGCAGCCGTCCTGGCCCGCTTCTCGGGCCTCGCATTCGCCCCGATCTCCGCCGCGTTCATCTTCGCGGCGCCGGCGCCCTCAATGCCCTAGCTTCCGCCTGCCCGCGATGAGAGCGGCCGCCGGGAGGTGCTGAGCCCGTCGGGCCCCCTGCACCTTCGCGGCTTCGAGACTGGCCCGCGCGGCGTTGGGTCCTCGATCCCGACCTCGGGTTCCTCCTGCGCCGTTCCCCCGCCCCCCCCCCCCCCGCGTTCTGCCCCCCCCCGTCGGGCCCCCTGCCACCCCGCCCCCCGCCGCCGCCCGCAGCGTCGTCGTCCTCATCTCGGGCGGGCGGTGCCTTCTGCAGCTTCGGCTTCTTCGACTTGCTCTGCGTGGACTTCTTGTCCTCGACCTTGGCGGACTCCGCGGCGGCGGGGCGCTTGGCCGCGCCCATGCTCTTCGCGCAGTTGCGGTCCAAGTGGTTCTTGTCGTTCTCGATCTCCCCCTTCGTCGTCGCGCTCTGGCAGCGAGCCACCAGCTGCTCTGACATGAACCTCGCTGCCAACATCTCGTCGCGGAACCTGCTCAGCTGGACGACCTGGACCTGCTTCTTCCGCCGTCGACTGCCTCCGCGGGACGAGCCGGCGCCCGCGCGCGCGGCGAGGCGCCCAGCTAACCCGCGCACGGTCGCCCATCTTGTTGCGACCCCCCATCGACGATGGACTTGCTGCACTTCGTCTTGCCGCCAGTCGCGCTTTCGACGCTGAGGTCGCCAGCTGTCGCGCCCGGCATCTGCCGTCGCCCCCCGTCGGGCCATTCTGCGGTCAGCATCGCCTCGCCCGCGCACGTCTTCGCGACGGCGCACTCGGCGGCGCCCGAGGGTCGACGCGCCACGCGGCCTCGGGCGGGAGCTGGGGAAGACAAGAGAGGCGAGGGGATGCCGGATGCTCGCCCCCCCCCCTCCCCCTCTTCCTCCTCGTCGTTCTCCTACCCTTCCTCCTCCTCCTCCTCTCTCCTCCCCCACCCGCCTCCTCCTCCTCCTCCTCCTCCTCCTCCTCCTCCTCCTCCTCCTCCTTCCCCCCCCTCCTCCTCCTCCACAATTACTCAATATGAAAATACTCTCCCTCTTCCCCTGATGGCGCCCGGGCGATGGCCGCTCATTCTCCGCTTATTGTTTTTGCGCGCACAGGATGCCCGGGAAATCCCGGGAAACGACTCTCGCTGAGGCGCCGGCGTCATTTTCGGGCCGAACGCCCCCCGCGTAGTGTTTTTTACACGCAGGATTCCCGGGAAACGGGTTTTCGCCTGCGTTTTTTTTTTGTTGTTTGAAATGATGTTCTCGCTGAGGCGCCGGCCTCATTTCTGCTCCCGAATCGTTCCGAATCGTGCTCCCGCTGCAGCGCGGGCCTCATTTTCGGATCGGTGTTTGGCCTCCGTCGTTCAGGATGGCGTTCTCGCCCCAGCGCGGGCCCCTTTCTTGCGCGCCCATCCGCCCGCCACCACCGCGCCGCACCACCACCACCACCACGCCACCACCACCACCACCACCACCATCACAACCACCACCAGCACCAGCACCAGCACCACCACCAGCACGAGCACCAGCAAGACCAGCACCAGCACCACCACAAACCACGCACAAACGCACGCACGCACGCACGCACGTGCACCACCACCCACTACGCACGCGCGCGCGGAGCCACAGGTCCGCTACGACACGCGTCCGCGGATAGAGAAAATCAGCGCCATTGTAAGGGATGGGAGGGAGGGGTAGGACGTCAGATATGACGCGAGCGCACCTAGCTTGTCCTCCTCCCCCTCCCCCTCCCCCCCCTCCCCCTCCCCCTCCTCCCCCTCCTCCTTCTCTAGGTCCTCTAGGTCCTCGGCGCACCGCGTCCCGCTGCTGCAACGCGTTGCACAAAGAGGGGGGTGATGAATCACGCGCGGCACTTAGAGGGGTCTCTCTTAAGGGGGAACGATCGGCCAAATTCCGCACCTGGGGATGGGTCAATCCCGCCTTTGAGGAGACTCAAGGAGTGAGACGCACCCTTATTCCGAGGCCCGCCGTTGCAAGCCTTGGCGAGGAGGGCCGCCTTCTTAGTGCCGAGCGCCCCACAGACACAGGACCACGCTCGGCCTCCGTCACCGCTCCAAAACCGATGGGAGGGGCGAGCCAAACGAGCGGGTCTGGGGAGCCCAGCACAGGGAAAAGCTGAAATCGCATTTCTGGACCAATCTCGAATTCCACATCGCACGCAAGCGGATCTCTTGCCCACTCGCACAAACTCATGCCCATTGGGCTCTGACACAAGTTCTAACACTTCTGGAGCCTTGTACCGCTTCGCGCGGAACTTGTCTGCATCTTTGAAATTCATATTTGATAGCGCTCCCCAGACGCCCGCAACTAACACAGCGCGGCCCCGAACCTGGAAATCGATGGCTTCCAGCTCGGAAAGCAGCTGCGGGGGGGCGGGGTGCATCTTAGCCCCTAGCTTGGCCAGGCGGTCTGCTTCGCGGTTGCCTCTCCAGGCCCACAAAGCACAACCTAGAGCAGACGCCTTGGCCCAAGACTGGTGGCTGCGAATTTTCTCGACAGAGATCGGCGCAGATAAATCTTCACACCTGCGGAAAGTCTCGCGCCGGACCTCAGCGCGCGCAACGTTGTCTAGGCTCTGGTCGCAGCCAGCTTCCCAGATGTCTACAACCATTGTACAATTACACACTGCATGCACGGGCTCGACCCCCACGTTTCTGATAAGCATGAGCAGAGCATACACTTCGGCACACCCCGACTGCTGCACAGGATGGGGCAAGGGCACGTATAAGGCCCCGCCCCACTCCCCGTGGCGATCCACCTGGACGATCCCCCAACCAGCCCTCTCCAGAGCCAGGTCACCAGGGGAGTAGGCCGATCCATCGATCGCCACGTTGCCTCGGAAAATGCCGTTTGGGGGGGGGGTAAAACACTCCAGACTTGAGACTCATCCTGACGGGGGGGAGGGGCCTCGAAAGCCAGGCTGGGGGCTAGACATCTGGCGGTGCTAATGTCGCAAGGCGGAGCCTGTTCGAAGTCTGGAATCGCCTCTGGCACGTCCAACTCTCTGCGGGTCCACCATGTCGCTGGGCAGCCTACGATCCTGTGCCGTGGCGTAACCAGGGCGCCGCAGAACTTGCACTCGGGGCTGATCGCCCTCCGATCTCTGAAAAAGAATGCTCTGCGTCGGGTAGCCGCCCGCCACGGAGCCTGCCGAGAACGCTGCGCTCGCCTGCTGGCCCCGAGAACGAAGCTGCCTGAGGACATCTATGATGGGCTCCAGTCGCGGGCCTCCAACCAAGACGCTCCCATGGTAGTTGACCCCCTTGAGGCCCTGCTGCAAGGATAACTTGGTGCCTGAGAAAACCAGAGTTTCGAGGGGCTTCTTTTCCATGTACCCGAAGTCAAACAATACGCCTCTGGAGTCCTTCCAAGCCACAGAGTGACTGGCAGACCATCCCATACGCTTCAAGGTACAGTATACAGCGCCACCCGGACCGTGGACATGCTT